ATGTGCTGGACAGCAAAGTGGGTTTGAATCACACGGTTGATGGTTCAAGCTCACCAGTTGCTTCTCAGAAACACTATACAGGGTCACTATGGGTCTGAACCGACTCGATGGCACTTAACAACAACAAGAACAACATTGTTGCAATATGGCTACACAAGATCTTTGTTCTTTTATTCTGCTAGATTTTTAGCAGGCAGATTTTTTTTGTAGCACTGTGGGATAAAGCATCAGACTCCAAGGTTTGTTTGTACCACAAGGTTGGCAGTTCAAACCCACCAGTTGCTCCTTGGAAACCCCATACAGGGTTACTATGAGTCAGAACTGACTCAACAGCATCTAACAATAACAGCAGCAGTCCATCCCAGCATTGGAAATAGGGATCTATTTCTGTATTTTTTTTTTTTTGGTCTCATATTTTCCTGCCCCATCTCTATCTTGTCTATTTGCTTTTTCCTGTAGAAATACACTAATGAAAACAAATCAAAACAAAAACAAGCAAGCAAAACTTAATATGTCAAGTATACCAGGTTTAATTGTGAATGGTTTCAAAATATAAAGTAAAATTTGTCTTGAAATTTTCCTCTAAAAGCCTAGTTTTGAAGTGCAAATTCCAATTCTTATGGAACAATCACTTCTTATGATACCACTCAATGAAAAGATTTTATTTTGTTTTCCTTCAACATTAAAGTAGTTCCCAAACCACTAATGACAGTTTTCTTTTCTAAATCCTGAGATTTGTTAAACTTCTTATGAATGAATTCCAGTTTTCATAGAATTCAAACTATTATTTAACCCTTTCTTTACTCCTTACTCCCTTTGGTCTTGTTTCAAAAGTTAGCTTTGTATGATAGCTCTCTGCATAATTCACTAATAGACATTTTCCTTGTTACAGTATTCCTAACATGAAACTGAAAAATTTTGTTTTTTTATGAATCATTTTCTATAGTCTCCACTGGGACATTACAATTTTATTTGGTTCTTGTGCCCAAAGATCACCAGTGTTTCCTTCTGAAATTCACAATCTTGCCAATGCAATAAACCTCCATTTCCTTTTCTTATTTCCAACCATGTTCAATGCCGATAAGTTTTTTTCTCCATATATTTCACCTGTGTAGATGATAACAATATATAAAAACCAAGGGACTCTCTCTTTCAGGTGTCATTGTTACCTTGTTTCCTTTCACTGGAGTTGGAGTCGAGTCCTAATTAGACTGATTTCATATCGTGTATGATATTTTAAATTTATTCCCGAATTCCTTTAATTATTAACACCAGATCTTTTATCAAAATATTCAGTGTTCAAAAATTTACTGATTTGCATTGTTGTTGTTGTTGTTGTTAAGTGCCGTCGAGTCGCTTTCGACTCATAGCGACCCTGAATAGGGTTTCCGAGGCTGTACATCTTTACGGGAGCAGATTGCCTCATCTTTCTCCCACGGAGCAGCTGGTAGTATAGTTTTTTTTTAACTAGGAGATCTGTACTTTTGCTTTTTAGAGGGAAAATTCATGTGATCATTTTAGATACCAAGTTTTCTGTGAATTAGCCTAATTCTTTTCCTTCAGCTTTTGGTGTGAGGGGAGAGGACTCAAAAGTTGAATGATTATGCTTGTGTCTCCTGAAACATTCAGTTACAGTCTGGTAATTGATCTGTCATAGGTTGTATTCTCTAGAAAAGCAAAAACCAGTTCTCTCACTATGTATGTGTATGCTGTTGTGTAGTGCCATCGAGTTCATTCCGACCCATAGCGACCCTCTATAGGGTTTCCAAGGAGCAGCTGGTGAGCTTGAACCACCGACCATGCAGTTCAGATGACTTTGCAGCCTGACACGTTAGCCCACAGCACCACACCAGGACTATCTATCTATGTCTATGTTTATATCTATATCTGTAACTGTAGAGATAGATAGATAGATAGACAGATAGATAGATATTGATATATATATATATCTCAAGAGAAATTTATATTAAGGAAATAGCTCATGATTGTAGAGATAGGAGAGTCCTAAATGCAGGCCACCCAAACCAAGATCAGGAAACCCAAGTCAAGGCACAGAGTAGGACCATGGAGCAGGGGCAGAAGCAGGGTGACCAAGCCTGGGAAGGCATGCCACAGAAACAGCAGTACGGAGCACACCAATCAGGGTGATAGGAACATGGGTGCAGGGCATTCCGGTGGGAATCTGGTTTTCCAGGAATGTTCAGTGGGCAAGCCCAGCAGGCAAACACACAATAGAGCCACTGGTTCAGGTTCAAAGAAACGGAGGTTGGAAGATGACCCAGATGTAAGATCCTGATCCAGCCAAAATTAGAACGACTCTTTCCTGCATGTCCGTTACATTGGGAGCAGGTCTCACCCCCAAGGAAACATCCTTGCCATTGATTAGCTGCTCATAGGCAATCATTATAGAGTTAACTATGCCTGCTCATAATCAGTCATCACAGAGTTAGCTATCAGCAGTCAAACAACTGGGAATCCTGCCTCAATCAAGTTGACACAGAACCTATCACATGGTCCTATGTACAATTAAATAAATACCACATTAATTTGCCTCTTAAACGTTTCTTACCAGTACTGTATAGTTGACTGTGGAATAGATTAAAGATTCTTTAGAATGTATAAGAAAAACTGCTTAAACTGTGAAAGGTAGTAAGTGAGTAATAGAAGAGCAGGAGTTGCGCATTAAGTTGAATTTGTTGTTATTAAGTACCATCCAGTCATTTCCAACTCAAGGCAACCCTTTAGAGGGTTTCTGAAGAGCATGTAGAGAGTTTGAACTATCAACCTTGTGATGTGCTATCTCCAGTGCTTATCTTACAGTGCTGCACCAGGAGTCCAGGTTTAATTTAGTATGTTATAATTATTTGTACAAATATGTATGGAAGTAATATAATTAATAAGTATCAGGAGACCTGAGTAAGTTAAGGTTCGCCATTAGTAGTTATATATTGTCCTGTGTCCATCCATCCATATTCCTGAATAAAGGCACAATTCAGCATGGTAGAATTAGCAGAAATTAAAGTCTTTTGTTAATTTTATGACTGAAGCCAGGATAATGATTGTAAATGTAAAGTAATTATAGAAGAGAATGATGCCTTATTTATTCTAAAAACTTAATTTTGGGACCCATTGCATGACACCCCAATATGCCATAGTGTTGTTTCAAAATGTATTTCTTTGTAGAATGAGTAGAGAGCATGGTATGCCTCAAGATAACTGACTTTCAGTCTTTTGTTGTATGCCCTTGAGTCACATCAGACTCATAGCACCCCTGTATAGTGTTTCTGAGGGTGGATGGTGAGTTTGAACTGCCAAATTTAGAATATTTTGATGGTGGTGGTGATTGTGTGCTGTGGAGTTGGTTCCAATTTCTACTATCCCTGGACAGGGTTTCCAAGGCTGCGAATCTTTATGAGAGCAGAGAGAGCCTCATCTTTCTCCCATGGAGCAACTTGTAGCTTGTGGTTAGCAGGCCCACTCACAACCCACTACTCTAGCAGAGCTCCTTTTAGAGTACTTTATAGTACATTTAAATTTTTTTTTTAAATAAATGTTTTATAGTGAATTATGTTATAGTTTACATGGGAGAACAGTAGTTTTACTTTCATTCTATCGTATATTGTTTCATTTCATTGCCATGGTTACACTCCCCTCCATGCATCATCAACCAACCAAAGTTGTTGCAAGTCGATCCCACCCCCACCTCCCCACCAGTCCACAACACACAGCCCCTCTCCCTCTCTGGATCTCAAGTCCCCAGCTGTTCCATCTCTCCATGTCATTGTCTCTGCCTCCATCTCAGGCATCACTGCTTCTCTGGGTAGGGTCCCACTCTCCGCTCTTCTCCACTGATGGTCCTAGGGACCTCTGCTCCTAGACTGAAAAGTTAATCATTCCCTCCTTGCTATAAAATGTCTACCTTTATATTTCCAACCCTCACAACAGTCCTGATACCAATTATTCACTATTGTATCACAAGAGAGCTATCTGCATTTCATTTCATCAGCCCTGCCTAGACATATTGTATGCTACTCTGTGAAGATTCTACCTGCCTCCACGCCTCCTGGATCTAGGTTCCCTCATGAAAGCTTTGTAAGCCAGTCACTTCTTGCCTTTGTAGCCCCCCCTCCCCACTTTGGGTAGCCAATGTCCAAGTTGTCCATCCCTGTCTACTCTGTATGTGTGGAGGGGGTGGGAATGATTCTTGAGTAAGGATTTGTTCCCTCTTTTGAGCTACTGCCTCCATAGGTGTAGGTCAAGTTCATCAAATTGTATCAGATTATGCTTTTTTTCCTCTTCTTTCTTCTTCTGGTTGAGCTCTGATCATCTTAAAGCCAGGACAAGTGGGTATTGTCTGCAAGTGTGGGTGTTCTTGCACATATCCCCTCTCTTCTTATCAGCTGAACGCTTCACTCTCCACTCTAGTCCTCTGTGGCTATCTATGTCACTGACTCTGGCCCAAGAGTCCCCAGGTCTTGCCACACAGCTGGCTGACCAGGTTTCCACCCGGGTTCACAGGAGTCTGTTGAACATTTTAGGGCTTATCTTGCCGCTTCATTGCTGTTTTTCACTCACGAACATGGTCGCCAATCAGAGCGTGTATTCCCATTGAGTCTTAGTTTTGGAAGAGGGTTTGCACTGAGGGGACCTGACCACTTGCCTTGATGTCTCCTGGGCAAGCAACTTGCTTGTTTTTAAAGAACTGTCGTAACTACTCATAGATCCTCAAATATATTATTCAGAATCAAAAGGTACCAAAAGTATAGTTATTGATGCAGGTAGTTTCTATATATTTTATGTGGAAACATATTTGAAAATACTTGAGATTTGAAGATTTTTTTACAAGTGTTATTTGTATTCTGTCAATGCAAGAAGAAACAAATACACGGAGACTTTGTTTTTTCTTGCCTCTAAATTTGTAAGTAACCTTAGTCATTCTAAAAGTACATTGATTTATATAAAAGGTGGCTAATTTTTTCCAAATTGTATTTATATTTCAGGCTAAAAATCTCATAGAGAGATTTTTTAATCAACAAGTAGAAGCTCTGGGCAAACGTGCAGAGCCATTGCCTGAAATCTACTACATTGAAGGTACTCTCCAAATGGTTTGGATTAACCGCTGCTTTCCAGGGTATGGAATGAATGCCCTGTCACATCCAAACTGTCCTGAATGCTGTGGTATGTAATGAACTCTAATTTCAATTTTTTTTTTTTTTTTATTTAATGAAAGTTCACTTATTTTTATTATACCTATCTGTTGTTTTAAGTATCACTTAAATATTCCTTTTGTTTATTTGAAGCAGTGATTTGAAAAGACTATGTTAATTTGAAAGTGTAAAAGAAAAAATGCTGGTTTAATTCTGCTCCAGTATTAATACTGCAGCAAAGAGGGTGAGTAGCATTAGGCAGTTGTCTGGGAGAAAACACAGTGAAGTGTTTTGAGTCATGTAATATTGTTGTTAATACTTACCTATAGTTGGCTACAGCTCACCGTGCCTGTATAACAGAACTAAAGCATGTATACCAGAACTAAAGCACTGCTCAGTGCTGCCCCATGTCCATGGTCACCAGTATGCTCAAATTTATCAATGGCTGTTTTCATCGTGTATTTTGAGTACCTTGCTGCCTAATGGTCTCAACTTCCAGCACAATATCAAGCAATGTTCTATTGTGACTAGAGGCAACATTCTGCAGTGATTCATAGGTCTTTCATTGACTGGTTCTTTGTTTACCTTAGTGTAGAAGCTCTGCGGAAACCTGTTCAACATAGTTGACCCTTTTGGTATTTGAAATATCCGTAGCATAATGTTCAGTCATAATCCTGTTGTTGTAGTCTGCTGTGGTGTTGATTCTGACTCATAGCAACCTTGTATAGGGTTTCTGAGAGCAGCTGATGGGTTTGAATTGCGAACTTTATGATGAAAAAAGTCCAATGCTTATCTTACCTGGTACACCAGGGCTCTCTAGAATTGTAGTAACCACAGTATAAGAAACTGACAGATGGGTGGTGGCACTTAGAGTTCCTTTCCCCAAAAGGAGCAAATGATATTTCATTTAATACCCATTATTGATGAGTTTGACTTTATATAGTTTAGTGTAAGTATCTTCTTACTGTTTTTTTTTTTTTTTTCCCTCTTGAGGAATAAGTATGTTATTTCTTTTACTACCAATGGTTTTAAGGAGCTCTGGTAGCATAGTGGTTATGAATCGGGCTGCTTATCTCATGATCAGCAGTTCAAAACTACCAGCTGTTCCGTGGGAGAAAGATGAGGCTTTCTGCTCCCGTAAAGATTCACAGCCTCGGAAACCCTGTACAGGGTCTCTATGAGTCAGCACCGACTGCACGGCCCATAACGACAACAACAACCAATGTTTTTATGACCTGATTCTAGCTTTAAGGATCTGGGCCACAAGCTGACACATATCCATCTTCATCTTTATTTTAAAAGAGAGTTCTATAGCCTTAGGATGAGGATAAAGATGTTTCTTAATTTCTGTTATTAGATGTTGAGTGAGATAATTTTTAATCTCTAATGGCTTTCTAGTATATGTTGTTGTTAGATACCATTGAGTTGGTTCCAGCTCATAGCAACCATATGCACAACAGAACTAAAAACTCCCCGGTACAGTACAATCCACACAGTTGTTAAGCTAGAGCCCATTACTGCTGCCACTGTGCCTATCCGTCTCATTGGGGTGGGGGTTGGGGTTTCATCTTTTTTTCTGATCCTCCACTTTACTAAGCATGATGCCCTTCTCCAGGAACTTGTCCCTCCTGTTAATATGTCCATAGTATGTGAGTCGATGTCTGACCCTCCTGGATTCTAAGGAGCATTCTGGCTATACTTCTTCCAACAGACATTTGTTTGTTTTTCTGGTAGTCCATGGTACTTTCAATATTCTTCTTTCAACATTCTTCTCTAAAACCATAACCCAAATGCATCAATTCTTCTATGGTATTAGGCAAATTTGCCTAATGCAGTACGTCCTTTGATTTCTTGACTGCTGCTTCCATGAGTGTTGATTGTGAATCCAAGCAAAATAGAGTCTTGTACAGCTTCAGACTTTTCTCCACTTATCATGATGTCATTTAGTAACCCAGTTGTGAGGATTTTTGTTTTCTTTACATTGAGATGCAATCCATACTTATCTTCATCAGTAAGTACTTATGTCCTCTTTGCTTAAAGCAAGCAAAGTTATATTATCTGCACATTACAGGTTGTTCATGAGTCTTCCTTTAAACCTGATGCCACGCTCTTCTTCATATAATCCAGCTTTTTGGATTATTTGCTCAGCATACTGACTGAATAAGTATGGTGAAAGAATACAGTCCTGGCCCACACCTTTCCTGAATTTAAACCATTCAGTATCCCCTTCCTCTATTTGAACAACTATCTCATGGTCTATGTACAGGTTCCTTGTGAGCACAACTGAGTATTCTGGAATACCCATTCTTTGCAATGCTATCCATAACTTTTCATGATCCACACAGTTGAAAGCCTTTGCATAATCAATAAGCACAAGTAAACATCTTTCTGGTATTCTCTGCTTTCAGCCCAAATACATCTGACATCAGTGATGACATCTGTACTTGTACATCCTTTTTTGAATCCAGCTTGATATTCTGGAAGTTCTCTGTCGATGTATTGTTGCAGCTGTTTTGAATGATCTTCAACAAAAATTTTACTTACATGGGATATTAATCATATTGTTTGATTTCCACATTCCGTTTGACCACCTTTTGTTGGAATGGACACAAATAAGTTGACCAAGTAGCTGTCTTCCAAATTTCTTGTCATAGATGAGTAAGTGCCTCCTGTTCTGCATCAGTGTGTTGAAAGGTTTCAATTTGTATTCCATCAATTTCTGGAGCCTTGTTCTTTGCCAATGCCTTCAGTGTACCTTGGACTTCTTCCTTCAGTACCATTAGTTATTGATCGCATGCTACCTCTTGAAATGTTTGAACATAGACAAATTCTTTTTGGTTCAGTGACTTTGTGTATACCTTCCATAGTCTTTGGATGCGTTCTGCATCATTCAATACTTTGCCTTCAGTAATGTATTGATTTGTTGCTGTTAAGTGCCATTCAGTAAGTTCTGATTTATAGCATCCTTGTCTGGGGTTTCTGAGGAGCAGTTGATAGGTTTGAACAGCTTCCCTTGCTGTTAGAAGCTCATTGCTTATCCTACTGCGGCACACCAAGACTCCAAATATTAAAATCCTTCTAATTAGAATATTCAATTTGAATCCTTCATTATTACAAGCCTTGAACTTTTTCTTCAGTTCTTTTGGCTTGAGAAATAGTAAACATGATCTTGCCTTTTGGTCTTTTCTGACATCGAATTTGGTCATCTCTTTTTTTCTTTGCTTAATGATATTTTGCTTTTGTCCTGCATAGTGCATGATGTCATCCCACAACTCTTCTGGTTTTGGGCCATCAAATCCGTTTTTGAGATGATCTCTGCATTCATGTGGGATATGTCCAAGGTCATATTTTGCCTTTTGTGAACTTGTTTGAATTTTCTTCAACTTCAGCCTGAACTTGAGTATGAGCAATTGATGATCTGTTTCCACTATCTGTCTCTGGTTTTGTTTTGGCTGATGATATTGAAGCTTTCCACCATTTATTCTGAAAGATGTTTTCAGTTTGATTCCTGTGTATTCTGTTTGGTGAGGTCTAGTGGCCAAACTTCGTCTCTCATACTTCGGACATATTGTCAGGCGGGATCAGTCGCTGGAGAAGGATATCATGGTTGGTAAGGTGGAGCACCAGAGAAAAAGAGTAAGACCTCCAGTGAGATGGATTGGCAAAGTGGCAGCATCGGTGGGCTCAAGCATGGCAACAACAGTGAGGTTGGCCCAGGATTGGGTAGTACTTCATTCTGCTGTGCATAAGGTCACTATGAGTCGGTACTGACTCAATGGCATCTAACAACAACAACATGTATATAATCACCTTTAATGTTGTTTAAAAGGGTTTTTACAATGAGTAATTCACTGGTCTTTCAAAATTCTGTCTTATCAATCCTCTTTAATTTGTTATTCATGACATAGCAAACCAAGCTATTGTCAGATTCAAAATGGCCAATCTCAGTGCACTTCAGTCACTAATGCCTAGAATGTTGATCTTTATAGATTTCATTTAATTTTTGACAGCTTCCAGTTTTCCTGTATTCATATGTCCTACATTACATGTTCTGAAGTTTTCCTTGAGGTGTATGGATATTATCCTATCAAAGACAGAGTTGTATTTCAAGATAAATATTAATGTACTTTTTAATGATAAATACTGCATAATTCCTCTTCAATTATGAATTCCTAGAACTTTAAGCCATATGATTGTCTTTCAATATGGCTAATATCAGTCCATTTCAGCTTACCAGTGCCTGGTATATTGATCTTATTTTGTGTTACATTTCATTTTTGACAATTTTCAGTTCTACATTCATACTTCATCTATTCCATTTTGGGATATATATATATATCATACAATTGTTATTCTTCCTTTGGTTCTGAATCAGAGCAACTCTGTATAGTATTTCTGAAACTGTAAAGCTTTGTAGAAAGTATTGCCTCAGCTTTCTCCTGTGGAGTGGCTGGTGTGCTCTAACTGCTGACAGTTTATTTTTAATTCAGTCTCATTGCTGTTTTCTGCTCTTTCTACTCCCTTAAATTGGGTTTAAAAGCCTCCTCATATACTAGGGAATTACACATTCTTTTAGTTTTGCTTTATTTGGTTAGTTTATTTTTGCTTTGAAACTAGTTTTCAGGTTTTAATTTTGTTTAAGTATAATACATACGTAAGAGTCCTGGTGTGGCACTGTGGGTTAATGTGCTTGACTGCAAGGCCAGCTTGAGTCACAAGGTTGTGGTTCAAATTCATAAGCCACTACTTAGAAACCCTATACAGGTTCGCTATGAGTTAGAACTGATTAGACAACACTTAACAACAGCAGTGCATACATATACAAATAAACATTTTTGACAAATATACTGCAAAGGAAGTGCAATATAAGTTTAATAAACAAAGCATTTCCAAATTCTAACTTTTTATAATCTGTGATTGTATTTATCAATCTACAAACCAAATAAGGATAAATAAAACTAGAATACCAATAAAATAAAATCAAGTAGCTTAGTTTTCTGTTTCTTTACATTTATAGTTTTATGTGGATCA